GCCGCTAGCCAAAGGCCAAGTTTCAGCATTATATATTGTGAAGTTGTACCAAACTAGCTAGTTCACAAAAAGATGGACAGTTTGTGTAATCTCTCTCAAAAAATGCCAGTTTTTTAGTGATGCATAAAGAAAATATCTTATTGTGAATAAACAAGATATTGAAGAACCGTCCATATGTAAGAAGTAAGATCATAATTACTAATTTAAGTCTTGTTCCACATAAAAGGAACTCTTTTGTTACAATAGAAACCAGAAGTGACATGGATTATTCAAGAATTGGAGTTGAGTTGCTTTATTAAAAAGTAGATACCAAATGAAATTTTATGAAATGGTTTCATGTGACTTGCTGATTAAAAAAATGTTTTACGGGATTTAGGTAAGTCTTGATCATGGAATATCACTGAGAAATAGGAAAGAGTAAATGGATCCATCCAGTTTTTATAGCATATCAGTTCAACTACAGACAATACCATTAAGAGGTCGGGTTCTGGCCTGAACAGTCTGACTGTCTAGTCCACTTTAGTTTCCAATAAACTGGTTATTTATTGTAGATGCTTTAGTTGGAAAGGAATACAGCCGCAGACAGCAGCAGTAATGAGCGTTAGATTCAGTGTTCCTATCTTATCTTATCTAGATTCAGTGTTCCTATCTTATCTCTTAGCTAGATTCAGTGTTCCTATCTTATCTCTTAGCTAGATTCAGTGTTCCTATTAATTAGGCAGTAGCATTATTTTTTCCTAGGTCTTTTAGAAAGTTTCTTAATGTTTCTTTTAGAAAGTTTCCTAATGTTTTTAGAAAGTTCTTTTTTAGAAAGTTTCCTTAAGAAGGACTCTTGTAATTCCTATTTAAGGAGCAGATGTTATTCAATAAATCCATCCAGAATTTCAGTCAAGAAAGAGCAGAGGAGAGTTGGTGATCTCTTTAACAAATCACCATAAAGGCGCTAAAGATAGGTTCCTCGAAAAAAGAGAGAAACAAGGGAACGTTAACCGACCTGTGACGAGATCCTATTCGCGGGCCCTTAACATTATTCATAATAGGTTGCTCATTAAGTGGTTCCATTAATCATTTCCCCCTCATAGGGCTGCTCATTATACATTATTTCTTTAATATCTAAATGACCCTATCAATTTCCTAATCAGATTCATACAATTTTGATGTTCCTCTTCTTTTGAATGCTGTGAAATTAATCCCTAAAAAAGTAAAAGTTCCAAGGCTTTTCAATCATCCTACATCAATAGGCCAGTTTGGAAGAAGAGGAATGAAAGAATCTTGAGGGGAAAAATCTCCACCTTGGAGGCTATTGCCAGAAAAGTTGAAAATTCCTTAGGTGTTGGGCAACTGTTCTTAAGGCCTTTGAAAGATGGATGACAACCCACTCACTTTACAAGGCAATGGACAGTGTCATTTTTTGTTTCTTTTTGAATGTTTAGGGGTGATGAGGGGTAATCTGGCTGACAAATCACGAAGAGACACATGGCGAATCTGAACTGTCTAATGACACCTTGGCGCCACATGGGGAGAGATCACACTCAGCCAGGTCAGCCTAAGCCAACTAACCCAACCTACATCTCAACCAAAGGAAGACCGACATATTGCTCAATGATAGAGCGGAGCATACCACTTTAGGAGAACAAGCCGATGACTTCAGATGTCGGCTTGACCTCCCCAACCTGGGCAGCCAACGACTTGAGTAGCCAATCGACCTTCGGGGTACTAACCTACGTGGCGGGCTGTCCTTATCTGGTTAGCACGCCATTCGGTTCCGAATTGGACGGTGGCACATTGCCTACCCGGTAGGGATGACCCCAGTTCCTGCACGCTTCGGAGCGACTAGATGAGGATCACTGCCAACATCGGTAGAACGTGCCTTGAAGATAACAAGCCAATAAGGACTACCGCTCCTGGATATCTTGAACACAGCTCTTGGACTCCAGGGCCTATAAAAGGGCATCTCCATGCCTTCACAAGGTACGCACAATTAAGTGCAATCAGCTCTCTTGCTCTCACTATCTTTCTCTGCTCTCTTAGCAACCTCACATAGATCAGCTAACTTAAGCATCGGAGTGTCCAGCCTAGGTCCAAACCCCAGGTAGTCAGGTACTTTGATTCTGTTTTCTTGCAGATCGGTCTGCTGACCTCAACCACTACTCGTCCAACCTGTCCTCCAGCAGGGAAGGCGGGTGATTTATTCCTCATCAAGGGGAATGTTTATATGTTCAGGTTTTTCCCATTGCTTACTTTTGTCTATCTAAATTTCTGTTGTATTAAGGGACCCTCTTCCTCTTGTCCATCTTAAGTGAAGGTACCAACATGCCATTTATCATAAAAAAACAACCATGAAAATCAAGGTCTGCAATCTATTAACCTTGATACATTATATAACAATCTACCTTTCCAAAATAATTATACAAGAAATAATAGGTGATATATACAAGAAATTGTGCCAAGCACCCCACAGTTCAGTTTCAGCTAGTCCAGCTACCTTTTTTTTTTGAAGAGTAATAAAAGAAATTTTATTGAAAGAAAAAAATACAAGGCAGAGGTGACAAGCAGGCACCTTGATAATACAAAGCAGCTAAAAACCATAACAACCAAACTGGAAACTACTACAAATCTGAAAAAAAAAAATACATTCCACTACATCTCCCCCAAATCTCAACTGCTACTCTGTTCAAACACCGGGGTCACCAGACCCAATCCGAGACAAGATGCCCATCTGAAGTGACCACCACCTTAATAGATTTGAAACACCACCCCTAACAGGTCATCTCTTTTGGATAAAAGGCTGCTTATCAGGTTCTCACCAAAGATCTCCCGATTCTCTTCTCCAATCCTCTTTAGTTCAGCTTAATAACCTCAACCTTCTCCCCTCTACCCCAAATCTTTCAAAAGTAAGAAATTGACTCTTCATATATCCTCACCCAATGCTTCCTCCTCATCCCCTTCTCTCTCTCTCTCTCTCTCAAATTGTTCAAATGCCTTTCTTGCAAAACCTTCCACTCCCCAGAAGAACAGACACAAGGATTTGCACATTGTCACTTCCCTCTCCATTAGCTTACTAATTTCCACTTCTCTTTCCGAGATTGTTGCCATCCCTCCCTGTTCCTCACTCTTTTTTTCCTCCTCATCCACCCTCTCCCTTCTTCCCTCCAAAATTTCCTCCTGAATTAATACTTCATCCCCATTTCTTTCCTTTGGGGCTGATTCAGAACCCAACACTCTCCTCTTCCTATTATATACTCTTTACAGCTTGTATCCCCAATCGCTACTGTCCAAGGCCTTCCTCTTTTTTCCTCCACCCCTCTCGTTTACTTCCCAAACCCTTTTGTCCCTGTTTCGATCATAATTCACAAAAAAAAAAAGAACTTGAGTAGAATTAGGGTTTCCCTATTCAAGGTGTATAAGTATGCACTATGTCTGCTAAAATCCCTTAATTAAATTCCTTAGAGGAAATTCTTTTGTACTCTCTTTGGCTGCAGGTGGGTGCCCCCTCAAGATGTGGCAGGACTCTTCAACCATGAATTCTTGAGACAGCGAAAGAAAAGATGGATGATAATGTGGAAAGCAACAAAGGCAGTAATTTGTTGGGTAATATGGAAAGAGAGGAACAACAAAATTTTCTTGGAAAAGAGTAGAACAATAGATGAAGTGATTGATAGTAGCAAGGTGAAAGTAGCCCATTGGGTAAAACCCTTGGATAGCTTTCAAGTCTTCTCAGTCACAGACATTCTAAGAACATGGTCCGAAGTAGCACAGTCTTCAAGAGTAAGAGATAAAGGCTGGAGTGAAAACCACCAAAAGGCAATAAAGTAAAACTGAATTTTGATGGGAGCTCCTGTGGAAATCCGGGCATCTCAGGAATAGGAGTATTAAGAAATTCTGAAAGGAGGATATTGGATATGTTCTCAGGACTGATTGGCACCGAAAACTCACTGAAGGCTGAAATATTGGCATTATTACAAGGGTTAAAGCTAGCCAAACAACTAGGATACAGACATGTTGAAGTGGAAGGGGATTCAAAAGTAGTAATTTCATGGGCAGAAAACAGCAGCCATACCCCAGACGTTTAAACATGTTATAAGGGAAGTGGAGAAGATTGCAAAAGAGGTTGAGGCTGAATTAAAATGGATCCGAAGAAGTGCAAATGGACTAGCTGATGGTTTAGCAAAACAGGGGACATTGAGACAGCAATTATTTTGGGCCGCACTGTAATGAGGGATAGAATAGTGTGATTAAAGGGGATCAACAGTCCCATCACCAAGTTGTATAAACTGTTTACAATCTGAATTTTAATAAAATACATGTTTACTGATAAAAAAAAGTGCTTAATCCAAAGCAATCAGACGGACCAATTTGACATTGATAAACTGTAACACTTTTTTTTTTTTGCTTTTAGAGCAACAAAAAAAGTCAGTGTGGTAAAACTTTCTCAGAAAATAAACTTTTGAACACATGATCTACACAATAATACCCATTCATCAGTTGAAACCTTAAAATAATGTTACAAACAAAATGGTGAAAAACAATCCAACTATACTGATATCAATTGCCTAAATGGCATGCACTAAATGGTTAGTTCTCATCCTCAGCCGCATTTCTATTCTATGGGCCATAGCCTGCTCTAAAAGCCTCATTTTAGCTTGAGCTTTTTTGCAGCATTATTCATTAAAAATGAATGTTTTTCAAAATTAAACTAGTTGTTCTTTCTATCTTTAGTTTGACATTTCCAGTTATATAATCTTGGTATGATTGATTCAACCCCAATAAAACTTTTTTGCTACCAATAAAAAAAGACTATATTAGGAGATTTCAATTACTGTAACTTTTTTTTTTTTTTGCGTAACTGATTAAATGGAAAAAAAAATAATGGAAAGAACAACAAGATCAAACCTAGACCTGAAAATAATTAGGAACGGCATAATTGAAGTTCAAAAAGCACATCATTAGATTAAAAAAAAGACTTTACCAGGAAAAAAGATCCAATATAATGAACAAACCTGCACTTTTGGACCACCATTTCTCTCAGTTCCTCCAAATGCATATCAACCTCACAAAGCTGAAAAGCACCCACAGTAATTTTGTCAATGCATTATTCATCATGCTCTCCATACAAGTGAACATCCTTTAAAGAACAGAATTGTGACCATTCCTAAAACAGTTTTAAATGGACATCTGTACTTTTCTAAGAAGCTAATTCCAGATTCGTGCTTCTGCTAGCATAAATACAAACCTCACTACTTATATCCCTAGCCATTTTTGCATTAGCAGCCTCCTGAGCAAGTTGCATATCACGTTGGGCCTCAGCTTCCTCCTCCTTAAGTCTTGTTTCCTGCAAGTAATCAGGTTTGGGACTTGACCTGGGATTCCAAATAATGAAATAGAAGTGTATAATACATTTCCTAAAGGAGTCCCAATGATCAGAAAGCAGCAGACAATACATTTCCAACAAATGGAACTGCATGAACATCACTTCAAATCAAATTTTGCCTCTTCAATGACAAGCTTTTAATTTATATTAGGATAACATGCTTTTACCTCTTCAATGACTTTGGGCAAAAGTTGAAGCCACTTCTCCTCAAATTTTGCCAGCAAGGTTTTTGCCATCACATGAACATCACTTCTTTCATCGTTATATGTCATTGCATTCTTGAAAACCAACCTCACATCAGTACATATTTCTCGGACATTCTTGTATCCAGAACCATCCTTAGCTTCCATTTGATTCCTTATTGTGCTAAAATCCATGGGCTTGTCAATAACCTAAATACAACACCGATAGCAATCAATCCATGGCCTACACTGGAAACATCGAAGAGCTTAAAGGACAAGGAAAAAAGAAGACAATTAATCAAGGACAATATTCCCACAAGTCAACTGAGTTGAAAGCCACAACCAGGACTAGACATGATTCATTTTAAAACCCACAGTTATAATCTAAATCTAAATAATAAGCAGGTAAGTGTTCTGCAAAATGAAATAGCACCCTCTCAAGTGGAGTCAATATCAAATACTTTACATTGTTCAGAGTTATGCATATGCTGATTCATTATAATGAGAGAAAATATGTCTGCCATGCATGACCAAGAATTTTAATAAAGTGAGAAGATGGTAAAAATATTTACCTCATAGTAGTCATGTAAACCAAGACCTTCAACATCCACAGGTTCCATAAAAGGCCATGCCCATTTGTGTTGTGTGATCTGGCAAGTAATGGGATACAAAGGACAATGATTTACAGCTCAAGATGATGAAAAGAAAGTTTATTCGAACCATAAATACTTCAGGTATTGGGCACCATTGAAAAAAAGGTAGTTAAAAGAGATCACTAACACCTAAAAACAATTAAAAGAAATCTGAATTTGCAATTACCGCCTTTTGCCAAAAGTGACAAATCTGTTTATATTCAGCACAACAACTGATTATGGACCTTTTATAATGTTTTTCTTTTCTTTTCTTTTCTTTTTGTTTTTTGGTTTTTGTAAAAGATAACAGAAAACAAAAGCAGATATACATGAAAGGATGTAATATCTTTACCAAAAAGCCCACTTCCAACCACATTCTCCTAAAAGAAAAACTAGACTAGATAGAGTTGTCAGTATATAGAAAAATCCTCCTAAACCTGCCCAAACTAGACTATCAGCAATCTCTCTCTGATATCTAGGAATCAACTGCAAAAAAGAAGGGAAGCAATTCAAACCATCTCTAGTTTCATTCAAGCAATGTACCAAACTTTCATGGTGAATTTTTACAAAAAAAAAACAATATATTCAACTACAGACTATTGAAGAGGTAGTTTAGATTTGATAGCAGCATAACATATGAAGCATTTGCTTTGTTTTGTTCTTTTCCGCATTGACAGTTTAATTACGTGATCAAATGATAGTTTAAAGCCCCTCGCTAATATACATGCCACACCACACATTATTAAATTGGTTAAGCAATGGGAGATAAAAACAGCATTAGAAGCTCATAGAGATTTTAATAATTCTTTTAGATAAAAATAAGATCATAAGATTTAGAGAGGGTTTCAGAATGAAAGAAACACGTTTGGAGATTCATATTAAGATCCAAAGAACAAAGAGATGCTTTACCAACAGAGGGAAAAAGGATGACCACGTTTGGAGATTCATATTGAGACAATATGTTTAAGTCTTTTATTATTCTATTAATTAACATAATTTGACAAATAATATATGATCATGAGAAGTCAATAAAAAAATATATGTGATCACGAGGAATATACAAGGATTGGTAATTGCCTGGCGCAATATTGTGGCAAATTGGCGCATGAGTTCTTGCATCCTCTTTGCACTAGCCGCTTCCCTTCGCGTTGCATCTTGTTGCTGCTTCTTGATGCTAGAAATATGTTTTTCTTCGTCTTTTTCCTTCACAACTGAGCTACCTTTTGAATTGTTTGGCTGCTTCTTACTCAAAGTTAAGTAGAACTGTTCAACTTCATTTACTCTTTGCTCAAGCTGCAAATTAATATTATATATAAAAAAAAAGAAAATGTATAAGGTTCCCCAGAACAAGGAAAAAATTCAAAATTTCAATGTAAGGTAAATTCAAATAGGAACTTTGAAAATGGCCATACAGTGGCAATCCTACAATTCCAACAAAGATAAGCCATTTGGTAAAAGTAAAACAGTATTTAATTTCAAAGATAAAGCCATTCAATCTACTGCTTTAGTTGAAACAATGAGAAGAAATACATTCAGTTATCTCAAAAAATGCAAGTACATAATGTGACATTCTGAGGCATTTGGGAAGCAACCCAAGGCAAGGCATAACAAAAGCACACTAAGGTAAAAATCTGAAGCATATACTCAAGCTTAGGCCTCACATCAGTGTTTTTAAAACCACTAATGGATCCATTAAGACTGTCAACCAATTGTCATAGTGGTTTCAATCAACTTCAGACCCACCCTGCCCGGGACTTGGTATTTTTATTTATATAAAATTTCCAGACAATATTAAAAAGACAAATTTTGATTAGGTAATTATGATTTCATTTATATCTATCAAAAACTATGATTTCATTTATACATTTGTGCTATTATTATATGTTTTTTGTTGTTCATCAATCATTGTATGAGAATGAATAATGAGGGAATGTTCCTACTGTAAAAATAAACAATATGGTGAATGCAAAAAAAAAAGAAGAAAAAGATCAACCATAGAAAAGACAAAAGACCAGCACAAATATATGCCTTTTTTATATGCGTTTTTCCTCTTCCTATTCGTTGGTTCAATGATTTGGAAGTGATGCTTGGACACCTGAACCATGAACCACCTGTTCCAGTGCTTCAGCATATGCTTAGTTTTCAAAACCTTGAAACTCAAAACCATTCTTACAGTCTTGCCCTCCGACCAAAAATGTAGCTTATAACCATACCATATGGTCTAAGCAAGACTAGTGGAATTTATAGTAAGGCACGCTCAATAAATTTATAGTAAGGATACAACTTGGGACAGCTTTGGTTAATCATTTCTTAAATTTTGAAAAAGACCAAACTAGGGCCTGACACAGTGGAAATTCTTCAAATCGAGTAATCAATTTACACCCTCTAGTTTATAGATCCAGGTTTAGGGCCTGTTCATTTCCTCTTAACTCTTACCTCTTAGGGGAATCTTACAACTTTTTGTTTTCCAATGATACCCCCAAAACACAAACAAAAATTCTCATATATGGGGTTAAAATGGATATTTGACAATTTTCAGAATTCAAAATTCAGAACAGCATTCTATGCTTTCAAAGTTCAGAGGAAAGAAAAGTTCACCAATACCAATACACCTCTTAATGTAATTATTGCACTTTCAGATGTCAGACATCAGAGCAAAAGAACAGGCCCTTAGGCAAGTAAAGCATATATCAAGGATTAAGTCTTTGTTTGATCCAACTCTCTCCTTGAGATGGTACTATGGTAGGAGATTATCACTGTGGTCTTGAATCCTGAGAAATATGCTTCTGGTAAAGCTTCTTGTCTTTGCTGTTCTAACAATTCTTAATGGGTAAGGAAATGATTGTCATTAACATTATTGCCACTGACCAATGTGAGCTTTCCTAATTGACCACTACCTATTACCCTCTCTACAAACTTGGAGGAATTGACAAGAATGTCATTGAGAAATTGAAAAGCCAGTTGTTCAGATGAACAAGAGGTCATTGAAATAAGCTTGGGTGCATGACAAGCTCAAGGTCGAGAGTGAGAATTGTATCAACATTGGCATTGTTGTGTGGATGTTTGAGAGTGCAAAGTACTACAGCACCCTTGTTGATATTCTTGAGCATCATGCCATATCAAGAATGATTGTTGTAATCTCTCAGGCTTACCAAGCCATCATCATTATTAATTCCACTAGTGATTTTTAATCTGGAATTAGTAATTTTGTGTGTGGATCACAACAATTGAATTTCAAACACACATCAATTCTGTTGAATTCAAATGAATTTCCCCTTGACCCTTGAAATTTGAATCCGTAATAAATACAGAAAAAAGGCTTAAAATGCTAGTTTCCTCTATAATGTACAAAAATGAAACCAAATAGTGAAATCCAGAAACTTGTAGAATTTGACCCCCTCTGTTCTGCCCCAAACGTCAAATGAACACTGATCCAAACACAGCTTAAGGATGATCAGATCAATGAGCATGCAATTGCATTCACTTTTGGTGTCAAGCAAATGATATGCTGCAGCAGTGTTAAGTCCTTAAGTTTGCTGGACTGGGAGCAGGTTATTAATATACTCCCAGTCACAGCTTAAAAAAATAATAATAAAGAAGAAAAAAAATGGCTTTCTTAGAAGCCCAATCAGTCCTATTGGTGGGCTGAAACATTTTAATAAAGAAAGGGGCCTGCAGTCCAACAGGCCCCAAGTTATTTGGGCTTATTTGTAATACAATAACCATTTAATGGGCCTGCAGTAGAGCCCATTTAGTGGAACAGCAGGCCCTAAATCCATTTTGATTAATTAATTGTGAGGTGTCCCACTTATTTATGAGGGGATGCCACTTGTCCTATTCTAACAAAAGGACTATTTTCCCTCCTCTAACCACTTTAAGTGGAGGGACACATGTCACCCTAGGGAGAAGGATTTAATTTCCCTCCCTAAACCACTTAAAGTGGGGGGACACATGTCACCCTTAGGGAGAGAGAGCTATTTTCCCTCCTTTAACCACTTGAAGTGGGGGGACACATGTCACCCTAAGGGAGAGAGAATTATTTTCCCTCATCTAACCACTTGAAGTGAGGGGGCACGTGTCACCCTAAGGGAGAGAGAGTTATTTTCCCTCCTTTAACCACTTGAAGTGGGGGGACACTGTCACCTTAAGAAGGAAGAGTTTCTTTTCCCTCCTTGACCCATTTTAAGTGGGGTGACACTTGGCACTCTAAGAAGAGAGGAGTGGGGAGTTGCTTAACTACCTCCCTCCTCTATATAAACCCCTCTCCTACAAGGAGAAGGGGCTAATGCCTTTTTTGTTGGCTATTACTAATTTATATGCAGGATTTCTAGCATTAAGAAACAAGTGGGAAGAGAAAAGAGAAGAAGATTGGTGTGGAGAGCATAAAAGAAAAAGGAAGAAGAAGGTAGGGAATCATGTGTTCTTCCTACACCTCTTCAATATGATACTCCTTGTGCTTCTCACATGAGATGGAAGCCCATATTCTATCAATTCCTCTCACTCCTTTCTTTCTTCCTTTTATTTTTCTTTTCTTCCTTGTTTCATATTGGAATACATGTAAGGAGACAACCATCTACATCCTTGTTCATGAAACTTGGCTGATTATGGTTCCTTACAACCTACTAACCTATGTGTGAGGGGAAAAACCATCTACAGCCTTGTTCATGAAACTTGGTTGATTATGGTTCCTCACAGCATGATAATGCACACAACCATAATTTAAAGGCCATTTGTAGCCTTATTGATGAAACATGCTTTTTATGATACCTATTTACTTGTTATGCATACAATGTTTGTTTCTTTATATGCTGGTTTTCTCTCAAATAAAGAGGGAATATATACCAGAATTTTCAAAAGAAAATTCTGTAGAAAAACCATACTTAGCTTAGTCTCTATTCATTGGTACTTCTGAATTAGAATCAAAAGGTTTTCTCTGCCCCTAGCAGAGATGTAATTAAGGAAATATCTACGTGATTTCCCAAATGGGGCTTACCCAAATAACAAAAAACCCAGTTGTTAGTCTAATTGGATGAATTATGTTATATGAGAAATCAAAAGGTTTTCTCTGCCTCATTGTGTATGTAGATGACATTGTAGTGACTGGTAATGATGTTTCAGGAATTCATGATCTCAAATCTTTCCTCCATACAGAGTTTGAGATTAAAGATTTGGGGGAACTGAGATACTTTCTTGGCATAGAAGTTGCTCGATCCAGGGATGGGATTCTTATCTCCCAAAGGAAGTATATTCTTGACTTGCTCTCTGAAACTAGGAAGATGGGTGCTAGACCAGTTGCTACTCCTATTGATATGAGTCATAAACTCTCTGCCTCAGATGGGACATTGTTAGAAGACAAAGGAATCTTCCAGAGGCTTCTTGGGAAAMTTCTGTACCTATGCATGACTCGGCCAGATATTGCATATGCAGTCAGTTGCATTAGCCAATTCATGCATGCTCCTCGAGACACACATGGCAGCAGCAGAGCGAATCCTGTGTTATTTGAAGGGCTCCCCAAGAAAGGGAATTCTGTTTGCCAAGCATGGTCACATGAAACTTGAAGCCTACATAGATGCTGACTGGGCCAGAAACATTGATGACAGAAGATCTACTTCTGGGTATTGCAGCTTGGTGGCTGGTAATGTTGTTTCTTGGAGAAGCAAGAAACAATCGGTTGTTGCTCGGTCTTCAACTGAAGCAGAATACAG